GTTTTCTACCTTTACTGTAGTTTACTGAACATTGCAGTAAAATCTTCTCTTTCTCACAATTTTATCAGCCCCTCAATAGGCACTCACTAAATTTCTGTTATTTCTAGATTTGGATCTCTACTTGGATATCTAATAGGCACCTGAGATCTACTATGTCTGAAATCTAGCTCAATTTCCTCCTACAGCCTTCCCCATTTCAGTAAATGACAATGCCATTCTTTCACCTGCTTAGGCCTAAACCTCTCTTTCTTTCACACTCTTCATCCAATCCACAAGCAAATCCTGTCAACTCAACCTTCAAAATATATTCAAGTCCAGCCATTTCTCACCACCTCTACCATGATATCTCTCCTGTATTCCCACAAAAGCCTGCTAACTGATCTCCTTGCTTCCACCAACAATCTTTATCCCTTTACACTGCTTTATTTTCTTCCCAGCACTTATCACCACCCAGTATATATTATATGATTGTTCATCACCTCATTGTATTTTCGTAAATTCCAGTGTGTTTACAGGAAGGTAATCCACCATTAGAAAGGAGTAAATGGCCAGGCACAGTGGCTCATGCCTATAATCCTGGCACTATGGGAGGCCAAAATGGGCTGATCACCTGAGGTCAGGAGTTCGAGGCCAGCCTGACCAACATGGTGAAACCCCAGCTCAACTAAAAATATGAAAATTAGGGCTGGGTGCAGTGGCTCACGCCTGTAATCCTAGCACTTTGGGAGGCCAAGGCAGGCAGATCACGATGTCAGGAGATCAACACCATCCTGGCCAACACAGTGAAACCTTACCTCTACTAAAATACAAAGATTATCTGGGCATGGTGGTGCATGCCTGTATCCCAGCTATGTGAAGACTGAGGCAGGAGAATTGCTTGATCCCAGGAGGCAGAGGTTGCAGTGAGCCGAGATCACACTACTGCACTCCAGCCTGGCAACAGAGCGAGACTTTGTCTCAAAAAAGAAAATTAGCCAGGCATGTGGTGGGCACCTGTAATTCCAGCTACTCAGGAGGCTGAGGCAGGAGAATCACTTGAACCAGGAAGTAGAGGTTGCAGTGAGCAGAGATTGTGCCATTGCACTCCAGCCAGGGCAACAGAGGGAGACTCAGTCTCAAAAAAAACAAAAAACAAACAAAAAAAACACAAAGGAGGAACAACCTGACAAGCTCATTTGTCCAGGATTAAGATTATTCAAGATAGTCACAGATTCCCAAGTGGGTTTATTACGAATCAAACGTTTTGCAAATATGCAACTTTTTGTTTTACTTTTTAAAATTTTAGACCTTCAGTGGTGATCGGACCTCATCAGTGGGAAGGGGTCTACCTGAAGTACCCTGTCTATAAATCCTGGGTCCCTGTAATGGCTGATTAAATTAAATATTTTATCAGTGGGGAGTGCCTACTGCCCTTTGTCCCATGATAAGGTCGTTTGTTTTGAGGATGGGATCAGTGTGACACCAGAGGAAGGAAAAGGCTAGCTCTGATAACCATAGGGAAGAGGTAGGCCCAGGAAGGGCCTGAGTCTTAAGAAAAGGAGACACAGAAGACTGGGCAGGGTGGCTCACGCCTGTAATCCCAGCACTTTGGGAGGCTAAAGCAGGTGGATCACTTAAAGTCAGGAGTTCGAGACCAGCCTGGGAAATATGATAAAACACTGTCTCTACTAAAAATACAAAAATTAGCCAGGTGTGGTGGTGCATGCCTGTAATCCCAGCTACTCAGGAGGCTAAGGTAGGAGAATTGCTTGAACCCAGGAGGCAGAGGTTGTAGTGAGCTGGGATCATACCACTGCACTCCAGCCTCCAGCCTGGGCAACAGAGCAAGACTGTTTCAAAAAAAAAAAAAAGAGAGAGAGAGAAAGAAATGATACTGGCCAGACACTGTGGCTCGCACCTATAATCCCAGGTATGAGGCTGAGGCAGGTAGATCATTTGAGACTGGGACTTCAATACCAGCTGGGCAACATGGCCACACCCCATATCACTATAAAAAATAAAATTAAATTAAAATTAAAATTAGCTGGGCATGGTGGCACATGCCTGTAGTCCCAGCTACTCAAGAGGCTGAGGTAGGAGGATTGCTTGAACCTGGGAGGTTGAGGCTGCAGTGAGCTAGGATTGCACCACTGCACTCCAGGATGGGGGACACAGCAAAACTCTGTCTTCAAAAAGACAAGAAAAATAAAATAAAATAAAAAGAAAATACAACTCTGTAAACAAACTGAAATACCAATGTACTATACACTTTAAATGGGTAAATTGTATGGCATGTGAATTACATCTCAATAAAGCTGCTATATTTTTTAAAAGGTGGAAAAAGAACTAGAGGTAGCTGGGATTATACAAGACCATAAAACTGACTGGGACAAGAAGAAACCAGGCACAGACAGCAAACGCAGTTTACACAGAGCTGAGGATTTCGACAAAAACTGATATTTTGTAAACTGTACCCCTTTTACCTTTCCTTATTTGCAAACAGATCTCAGCAATAACCCGGCACCACACTTTGTTAGAAGGAAACAGGACCTAGAGATTTGAGAAAAAGGGGGACAGGACTCCTCTTGTTCACACACCATGCTGGTATGTTCCTCCCAGTGAACTTTGCATCATCCCTTGGTAGTGGGGATGCCTAAATTTAAGCAAGAAGCCAGCAGCCTCAGACCTGCTGCGAACCAAGCCTCGACTCCCGAGGCAAAGGACCCTAGAAAACAGAAAGTGGCCATTCCACAAGATCACTCATTCTCCACTTCTAGTACCTCTGTGTTTGGTGGCTTTGAGGATGCCACCAGTCTCATCCACCGCAGACAACCCACAGTTCCAAAGCTTCCTAAACTGACAGTCTGGAGGGGCACAAGGAGCATGCTATTACTCTGAGAGGCATCTCTACGGTTGCCTGAGTTTAGGAGCTGGTGAGTCAAAGGGCTGGTAAAGTTTCCCTCCCAGGTGCTCTGTTCTTAGTCCCCTTTTCTTACACACATGCACACACTCATACCCCCTCTTCTCTTTCTCATCCTCTCTCCCCCATTCCTTCTTCCATGGTACACTACACTTTCTCTATATATATTCTATTCCCCCATCTCTTCTCTCTTTCTCCCCTCCACCCCACTACCATTGCCTCTCCAGCTCCCGCTCTCTCTCTCTCATGTCTCTCTTCCTCCCCAGCTCCTGCTCACTCCCTCATACCTCTCTTCCTCCCTCTTCTCTCCTTTCCCTCTCAACACAGATCTGGGGGTTCTCTTTCACCATGAGTGTTCAGACATGAAGGAAGCCAGCTTTCAGCAGGAAAGTAGGGCCCCAGCCAAAGCAGCCTTTCACCAACAACCCAGCACAGCAACAGACCCAATATCCAGGCCTTCTGTATGTGCCTACTGTACGTCCCTGGTGATCCAAGGGAATGATAGGGAATAACATGTCCCTATGTACCTTTCAACGATCAGACAAATGGACTATTAAAAGCCTCCACATAGTGAAATGTCTACAGATAAAATAATGTGACATCTGGAATTGGCCTCAAAATAAAACAGGGCAAGAAAAAGAGAGCAAGGAGGAAATACATCAATGAAACAAGATGGACCACATAGCCAGGCATGGTGGTATGTGCTGGTAGTTCCAGGTACTTGGGAGGCTGATGTGGGAGGATTGCTTGGGCCCAGGAGGTAAAGGCTGCAGTGAGCCTTGATCATGCCACTGCACTCCTGATTGGGTAACAGAGTGAGACACTGTCTCAAAAAAAGAAATAAAATAAAAAAACAAAAAAATTGACCATGAATTGATAACTTGATAACTATTGAATCTGAGTGAGTACAGAGGTTTATCATATTATTTTTTTCTATATTTGTACATTTCAGCACAATAGAGACCCACCCTTTGGCTAGTAGATTCTATGGGTCCAACTAAGATACACCAAGATCACACACTCATCAGGAAGGCTATTATTTAAAAACAAAACAAGGCCGGGCGCAGTGGCTCACACCTGTAAATCCCAGCATTTTGGGAGGCTGAGGCAGGCAGATCACAGGTCAAGAGATGGAGACCATCCTGGCCAACATGGTGAAGCCCCGTCTCTACTAAAAATAAAAAAATTAGCTGAGCATGTGGTGCACGCCTGTAGTCCCAGCTACTCAGGAGGCTGAGGCAGGAGAATCACTTGAACCTGGGAGGCAGAAGTTGCAGTGACCCAAGATCACACCACTGCACTCCAGCCTGGCAACAGAGCAAGACTCCGTCTCAAAAATAAAATAAAAGAATAATAACAAGTGCCAGTGAGGATGTGGAGAATCAGATTCCTTATGCACCACTGGTGGGAATGTAAAATGGTGAAGCTGCTACAGAAAGCAGTTGGCAGTTCCTTAAAAAAGTAAACAAAATTACCATATGATCCAGCAATTCCACTTCTGAGTATTTACTCAAAAGAATTAAAGGCAGGGGGACACAAGATACTTGCACACCCATGTTCATGGCAGCATTATTCATAACGTCCAAAGGTGGAAGCAACCCAAGTATCTATCAACAGATGAAAGGATAAACAAAATGTGGTATATACATACAATGGAATATCACTCAGCTTTAAAAAGGAAGGTAATTCTGACACTGCTACAACATGTGCACAAAGGAACCTTGTGACATTATCCTAAGTGAAATAAGCCAGATATAAACGACAAATATTGAATTATTCCACTTACATGAGGTCCCTAGAGGAGGCAAATTCATAGAGACAAGAAGTAGAAGTGTGGTTGCCAGCGGTTAGTGGGAACAAGAGAGGGCATTACTGTTCAATAGGTCCAAGTTTCAGAATGAGATGTCAGATTCTGGAGATGGACAGTGGTGATGCTTGCACAATTGTAAATGTATTTAATACCACTGAGCTACACTTAAAAATGGTAACTCCTGTTACATGTATTTTATCATTAAAAAAAAAAAAATCCAGGGAATAAAAAAATCTCATGTCCAAATTCTTGGCTTTTCAAGGCCAGCTCAGGTCAACCTAGACATCATACCTTAGACAGGATCTCAAAACAAGGGTGTGGCGAGCGTTGCTAGGGGAGCAGAGCTGCGGAGAAAGGAAAAACTTCTACCTAGGCACATGGTCTAGAGTCCAAACACCACCTAAGGAAAGAAGAAAAACAAAATGTTTTTTTAAGTGGGTCTGAAGGTAAATGTTAGAGTAAGGAAAGATAGTTTAAAAAACTAGTAATAATAATTCAAGTGTAAGTAAGACCCTGAGAAAAATTTCCAAACATAAATTCAAGCAGGCCACAAATGCAGTCAAAGACAAAACTTTTCCCAGCTCCACGTCTGCTCCCTCCCTCTATTACAGGCTGGTGGTTCAGAGCACAGACTCTATTGGGTTCAAATCATAGTTCTACTACTTACTAGCTGCGTGACCTAGGGCAACATTCTTCACCTCTGTCTGTTTTTCCACATGTAAAATGGGCTATTACAGGGATCAAATGAGTTAATATTTATAAAACTCTTACAACACTGCCTTTCACATAGCAAATACATGTTTGCTGAGTATTATGCCACCAACCTCAGTGGCCAGCAAGCTGTCCCTCCTAAGTTTTCAGAGCGCCCCAGAGATAGCTGGCCAGAAGCATGGAGAGAGGCCAGAAAAACAAGGCAAGTAAAGCCGGGCTTAGTTTACCCTCCACACAACTCCTCCTCCAGTGCCTGCCGAAGCTGAAGAAGCAAAGGGCCAAGCAGGGGCCAGTGGGGCAGGTGAGCTGCAGAAATCATGGCAGGAGCAGATGGCAGTGTAGGAAGAGGTCAGCACCAAGCAGGCGATGAGAATGAGACATGGAATGGGGAGAGCTGACAGAACCCTTTTTTTAAAAAAACCTAGGTGGTCCTTAACTGTAGCTGAACATGAGAACCACCTTGGGGACTTTGGAAGCTACTAATACTTGGTCACTACACCCCTAAAATTCAGATTTCATTGACTAGTGTTGAGAAACAGCAGTTAACAGCCCATCAACTACATCTACCCACAAATGACCTAATTAAAGGACTCATCCCTGAATTTCTTGCTCTGCCCATTGTCACTCTAATCCTACATTCCCTCACTTGACTTCATTTTTGTTCGATTTTGACAGAGCAACATTCAGTTTGGATCCTAAAGAGTAATGTAAAAATGTAGAAGGGAAGGGAAAGAAACCAACTATCCCAATTCGACGGAAAGAAACTAGAGAAAACTTTTCTGAAGTTCTTCCTTTTCTTATTTGGACTTTCACATTTCAAAACATAAACTAACAAGCAGACACTGTGCTGTCCAAATGAGGACAAAAGTTAGAGATCAGGGACCAAGGGGTGCCTTAGGACTGCTATCCAATAGTAAATAAATTGGGAGGCACTCCAATGAGTGTACCTGGTTATTTACTTCAGATTAACCTTGGTTCCTCTGGCCACCAGCTTCTGTGGATTACCCGGACAGTCTCTCACATGCGCAATCATGCAGCTTGGCTGAAGAGAGGAGCTACCAAACCTGAGCTTCAGGCTGCACTTCCAGGCGGGCTGCTTCTCCGAGGTCACCCTAATCACACACTCATGCTTGGATGCATAGGAATTTTACAGTGTATAACATACTCTTCCTACTTCACCAGGAACTCACCAGTTCCTGGTGAAGTGAGTGAACTAAGAATGGCACTCAGAGGGAGGGATAACATGGGGAGAAATGCCAGATATAGGTGACGGGGGAATGGAGGCAGCAAACCACATTGCCATGTATATACCTATGTAACAATCCTGCATGATCTGCACATGTACCCCAAAACCCAAAGTACAATAAAAATAAAGAAAGAAAGAATGGCACTCAGGCTCCTGCCTGCCTCCAAGAACCAAGCTGCCCTTGTACTTTGAACTCCAAACAAGCAGGTCAGCTTTCACATTTCAAATTTCCCAACACACTCATCTTCCCAAGGTGCTACTGGATGGGGCACAAGTTTTCCTCCAATTTGGTATTGAGACATTCACTATAGCCCTTGCCATAATGATGACCCACCTTAGATGTTGTAAGACCAAGATTAGACAATCTTGTTCTTAAGCACTCTTCTAGATTAGAGCTTCTTCCAACACTAGAAAGATTCAGGGCTATGAGAGCCAAAGAGATTCAGTAAACCATTAAATTTAAACCACTTACTCTACAAGCAAGTAAACTGAGGCCCAGAGAGGTAAGGTAATCAAATGAGAAAAGGTACATAAACTGAAGAGTTGTCGTTACTGTGGAAGATTCCTGTTATTCCTGGAAAGGTCACAGGGCCTTTGGTTGCCCTTCCCATCAGAATAGCTGAAGTCTCCTACTCAACAGTTACCCATTCAAATATCTCCACCTAATACAGGGGATAAGGCTTATTTAACCCTCAGACCAGTGCTTCTTAGCCCTGGAGCAATCCTAATGCCTGACCCCAGCTCAGACCAATTAAACCAGAAATTCTAGAAACTAAGCCACCATAGGATCCCCAAAACCCATACCTTCCCCCATGGATTTCTTAAGCCCTCTCCGGCCTGAAGGGCTTTTGCACTTGTCCTCTCCAGTCTGACTGCTCTTTCCTCAGATATCTGCGTGACTCACTCTCTCACTTCCTTCAGACCTCTGCTCAAAGGCCATTTAATCAATGAGACTTCTCTGACTTCTCAATTGAAAATAGAAAATCTGCCTCCCACCAAACCCCTCATCCAACATCCCTGCTTTATCTTTTCCTGTAATACTTTTCATTATCAGTTATATCTTACTTGTTATCTATAAATGCATACATACCAGAATATGAGCTCCATAAGAGTAAGATTTGTGCTTATTTTCTTCCTTGCTACATTCTCAGTGCCTAGAATAATGCCTGGCACAGAGCAGACCATCAGATGTATATTCTAAATGAACACATCAGGAGCATAAATCTCAAAATATGACACATACCAAAAGATCATAAAGCAGCAGCCATTTGGTTGATTACAGAAAACACACTTCTCTACTGAGCTCATCTTGGCAAAACCCTTATTAAAAACAGGATAGAAGCCTAATAAAACAGAAACCATCCAGAAGTAAGTATTTCTAGACAATCCATTCCAATGGGTTTTTTCATCAGACAATTTGTTCTGAGAAATAAACATACAGAAATAGAAAATGAAGTTGAAAGGTGAGGGAACAAATGGCTTTCAGATGCCACCTTAGCTTATCTGCAGATTCAGAAGAAAGACTGCGTGCACTGACAGCTACACTCAGGAAGTTTTCTGCAGACCAGAAAAAACAGGCTCCTCTCCTGGGATTACACTTCGTGAGGTGAAGGTGCAGTCTGGGATATTAACGCCTGCTTACCCCCAGATCCCTCAACCTGATGAACCTGAGGAGGGCCTTTCCTTTTTCTTTCTCCTACTTATACCCCAACCGCTTCCTAAACTCATTGGAAACCACTGGCAGCACTTTAAACTCTACCACATTGGGAGCACTGGAAGCCCTTGTCAAGGCAACCACACAGCAGTTGGGGAGCATCCCACCATTAGTCTCACTGATGTCACCTATTCTGTTCCATGTCTGCCAACCCCATCCCTGCTCTTTCCTTGCCCCATCTGGTCTCTCCCTACTTGGTCATCCTGCATGTTTCTCTAAGACTAATCCCTCCCAAACACCTTTTTTTTTTTGAGATGGAGTCTCATTCTGTCACCTAGGCTGCAGTGCAGTGGCACGATCCTGGCTCACTGAAACCTCTGCCTCCCAGGTTCAAGCAATTCTTCTGCCTCAGCCTCCCAAGTAGCTGGGATTACAGGCACCCGCCACCATGCTCAGCTAATTTTTGTATTTTTAGTAGAAACAGGGTATCACCATGTTGGACAGGCTGGTCTCAAGCTCCTGGCCTCCGGTGATCCACCCATCTTGGCCTCCCAAATGCTGGGATTACAAGTGTGAGCAACCACACCCAGCCCAAATATCATTTTTATCAGGTCACTTACCCTGCTCAAAAACTCTTCCTGGGCCAGGCATGGTGGCTCATGCCTGTAATTCCAGCACTTTAGGAGGCCGAGGTGGGTAGATCACCTGAGTTCAGGAGTTTGAGAACAGCCTGGCCAACATGGCAAAACCCCATCTCTACTAAAAATACAAAAAATTAGCCAGGCATGGTGGCGCATGCCTGTAATCCCAGCTACTTAGGAGGCTGGGGCAACAGAATTGCTTGAACCTGGGGGGCGGAGGTTGCAGTGAACCAAGATCACACCATTGCACTCCAGCTTGGGCAACAAGAGGGAAACTCCATCTCAAAAAAAAACACTCTTCCTTCAGGCTACTACATTGGTCCAACCCTCAGGCTAGGCTTTCAAAAACCTCCATAACGTAGGCCTAAGACCAAGGCTATTGTTTTTATACTTCAGCAGCTGCCCCTCACTTGTCTTGCAGCACCAACTCACTGCCTCCCTGCTGAACAGCACTAGTAAGAGATGGGGCTATAGAGACTGGAATAGAATGGACCACATCTCCAACCTCCATTCCTGCTGAGAGCATCCTCTTCATCCTCCTCTCCTCCATCCAACCACACTCCTTCTCTCACACTCCAGCTGCTAGCTACACTGCCCTTTGCTACCCCATCTCCACACTGCACACACACCATAGATATGCAAGCATGCACTTTTATTCATTCAATAATATTGAGCACCATTACTATGTCTCAATATTACAAGGTCTATGACTAGACCTTGTTCTAGTCACTACAGATACCACAGTGAACAGAACAGATTAAGCTCCTGCCCATGTAGAGCTGATAATCTACTGGAAGGAGACAGACATACAGACACAGATTTGTAAAAGTCATACTTATTATCTTTCTCAACCAGGGCTTGTCGTATGAAATCAGAAGAGTGAATATATTCTCAGTTATGAAGTTAAGTGAGAGGGCAAGCCATGAGAATATGGAGGAGAAGAGATTTTAGGCAGAGGGAAGAGCAAGGAGGAAGAGAAAGGCCCTGAAGCAGAAGGAGTAGGAGATGAGGCTGAGAGGCAGATGATGGCAGGCCATTGCTAGGTCTCTGACCTTGACTCTAAGATAAAAGACTGCAGGAGGATTTGGAGAAGAATGATGTGCTCAGACCAACATTTTATTTGTTGCTGATGGTTCTTTTCTTACCACTTATCCTCAAATTCTATCACATTGACATTTTAAAAAGATCACTTCCCTATGCCTAACCATCTCAGCTGTCCATCATTAGGGAGAATTACAAGAATTTCTTTTTGAATGTTCCCAAATGTTCTAAACCGAGCACATATTATTTTTCAAATGAGGGCTAAAAAATCTCTCCAATCCTTAAAGACTTGACTCAAATTCCAACTCTGCCTCAAAACCCCTGTACAAGGCAGGCTAGCCCACACTGTACCCTATGCCCCAGGCAGCAGGACCACCAAGGCAGGCCCAGTGTCAGCAATCAAGTGGTACAACAATACTCACTGCAGGAACTGATACGCATGAATGTTTCTTTTGCTGCCCTCACCTCTCCCATGCAGGCGTGTGTCTCTTACAGACACTCTTGCCCCCAAGTGCCTGCCTGGGTCCCAGTCTTTCTCTCAGTTGACTTAATTAATTTTTGGTAATTAAAGCTGCTGTTTGGTGATGATGTACTAAGAGTATGACCTCTCCCAAGCAATGTAAATAATTTAAAAGATGGAGATGCAAAATCCTTAGACTCAGAGGAATGGAGCTAGAATGACAGGCACTGGGTTCATATTTTGTGAACAAGAGGCCAGCTTCTCCTATAAGGTATGGCACTTAGGAAGCAGCGACAAGGGGAGACAAGTAATGAAAGATGAGAATACATCATTGTCACCATCTCTCTCCTCCCAAATGGCCATTCAATCCATTTTGGGTATTAAAGAATGTTCCCTAGAGGTAATCCCAGCCATCTCAGAGGGTGACCTGTGTGCCAGTAACCACCACCCTCAGAAAAAAAAAGCCCCCTTAAGACACTTCTGGTCTGAAAGCAAATTGTTCTCTAATTGCTTTCAGTGGGGGAAATCCTGGAGGGCAAAGTTCATTTCACATGATTCTTTTATGCTCTACCCAGATCTGGACTGGGTCCAGGGTAGACCTTTTATAAGCAACTGTGGAATACTGATTTTAATTAGAATGTTTACTTATATTTAAAATCTTGAGGGTGTTTCCTTAGCAAGGCAAAGGGCACAGGGAGACCATAGGGAGAGGCCTTAAGGTAGGTGTCCACTGTAACTGAATTGGCAAAAAAGAGTAGAATGCTGTTGCAAAAAGTCTCCACAAAATTTTACTTATTTAGTTAGAGACAAAGTCTCACTCTGTCACCTAGACTAGAGTGCAGAGGCACAATCACAGCTCACTGCAGCCTAGACTTCCCAGCCTTGCGTGATTCTCCCACCTCAGCCTCCCAAGTAGCTGAGATTGAATACAGGTCTGTGCCACCATGCCCAGATATTTTTTTGTATTTTCAGTAGAGATGGGGTTTTGCCACGTTACTTAGGCTGGTCTCAAACTCCTGAGGTCAAGCAATCCACCTGCCTCAGCCCCACAAAGTGCTGGGATTACAGGTGTGAGCCACCTCACCTGGCCTCCACAGACTTTAAATACAAGTAAACATGCTAATTAAGAATATGATAAGCCAGGCGCCATGGCTCTCACCTGTAAGCCCAGCATTTTGGGATGCCAAGGGGGGCAGATCACTTAGCTCAGGAATTCAACACCAGCCGGGGTAACATGGCAAAACCCCATCTCTACAAAAAAATACAAACTATTAGCTGGTATGGTCGTGCACACCTGTAGTCCTAACTATTCGGGTGGCTGAGGTGGGAGGATCACCTAAGCCTGGTTGGTCGAAGCTGCAGTGAGTCGTAATCACGCCACTGCACTCTGGTCTACACAACAAAGTGAGACTGTCTCAAAAAAACTTGTTTTTAACAAAGGATAAATGGCAGCTCAACACAGTGGTTCACACCCGTAATCTCACACTTTGGGAGGCCAAGGTGGAAGGATAGCTTCAAGTCAAAAGTTTGAGACAAGCCTGCTCAACACAGAGAGACCCTGTCTCTACAAAAGAAATAAATAAATACAACTAATTAGCCAGGCATTGTGGCCCATGCCTGTAATTCCTACTCTGGAGGTCGAGGTGCAAGGATTATTTGAGCCCAGGAGGTCAAGACTGCAGTGAGCTATGATTACACCACTGCATTCCAACTCCAGCCTGGGTGACGGTGCCAGACACAATCTCTTAAGAAAAAAGAGTAATGGCCAGAAACAGTGGCACACCTGTAGCCCCAGCTACTCAGGAGGGTAAGGGCCAGGTGCTGTGGCTTATGCCTATAATCCCAGCACTTTGGGAAGCTAAGGGGATAGAATTATTTGAAGCCAGGAGTTTGAGACCAGCTTAGTCAATATATCAAGACCCCATTATCTCTACAAAAATAAAAATTTTTTTAAAAATGGTTTTAATTGAGACAGAGTCTCACTCTGTCACCCATGCCAAAGTGCACTAGTATGACTTTGGCTCACTGCAACCTCCACCTCCCAAGTTCAAGTGATTCTTCCACCTCAGCCTCCCCAGTAGCTGGGACTACAGACTCACACCACCATGCCCAGCTACTTTTTTGTATTTTTAGTAGAGACGGGGTTTTACCACATTGGCCAGGCTGGTCTTGAACTCCTGACCTCAAGTGATCCACCTGCCTCGGTCTCCCAAAGTGCTGGGATTACAGGAGTGAGTCACTGTGCCCAGTTAAAAAAAAAAAAATTTTAAGGGAGGATCGTTTGAGCTTAGGATTTCGAATCCAGTTAGGACAACGCAGCAAGACTCCCATCTCAAAAAAAAAATCTAATATTTTTAAAAGCCTAAAGATTTATAGCCTTAATAGAGTATTAGATGGTGACGTCGTTTTTATACCTCAGCCAGTTAAGTTCAAGACTGGGGAGTCTACAGTGCAAAGACAGCAGCCCAGCCAAACAGACCAGAGCTTTGGCTTGGTCATGCCCAGAAAAATCTGAACTATTCAATGCTCACCCCGGGCCCCCTTTTCTGAAAATGCCAAAGCTCTGCCTCAAATGTGTCTTCAAGCCCTATAATGTCCCTGAGATGGCTTGCAGTTACAATGGACACCTATCTTCAAAACCTCTCTGTGCGGTCTCACTCTGCCTTTTGGCTTGTAAAGGAATACCAAGAACTAAACTGACAGAAAAGAGTAGAATGCTGTAAACTACAGCAAACCAGGAGAATAAATGCGGAGCCAGAGTCCATTCTGCTGGCTTACGTTGGCTCTAGCTTGCCAAGTGCAATGTGGGTAAAATGTTACCACATCCAAAGACTGGTTATGAGGAAGAAACAGCCCTCCACCTTGCCCCTAATATGAGCTAAACCCCTAAAGCGGGAAATACCAGGAATGCACGGGAGGCTTACACATGAGAACTCTTGCTCTTCACAGTCCTTTGATCCCCAGGTTGTAATATCAAGCAAGGCCTCTAGAATCCCCCATGCTGATGTTTGAGACTGAGCCCAGTGGTCCATAGGAGGCAGCCCAGAGCCACACCAGAAAAGGAGTGATTTCTTTAGAAATACCTGTAAAGAAAGCAACCAACGAATGAAGCTAGAAGCCAAGTCACACTCTAGTCATCAGCTCCTCCCAGGTGGGCCCTGCCTCTCTGAATTCAGGGGCTATCCCAATCAGAGGTGCTAGCCTAATCCACCTGTTTGAATGCATATCTAACAAAAGCATCTTACCCTAGGAATGACAGATGAGGCCAACTACAACATCGTACATCTCTCTAGGGACATGTTCTAGGCAGTTTTTAAGTTTTTGCTTTAGGACATTCGATGTTTGTCTCCAAAATGAAATTAACCTTACAGGATGCTTGTTTGTTTTTGTAAAGATGATATATATGTCTGTATAAAATTCAAATGATAGGAAGAAAATATAAAGTAAAAACCACCCCAATCCCTCCACTCAGAGGTAAGATCTCACCGGAAACTCTGTCCTTACTGAGAAGCAAGTCTATTCTGAGTTAGACGTGGGATATAGGTCTTGTGTTCTCTGGATGAGCTGGTGAATTAATTTTTGTGGAGGACACTTAACCCCACTTCTGGACTACTCAAAAAAGTTTAATGCTGTGCACAGAGGTGCACTACAGTCCCAGCTACTCAAGAGGCTAAGGCAGAAGGACTGCAGTGGTTCATGCCTGTAATCCCAGCACTTTGGGAGGCCAAGGCAGGAGGATCACTTGAGGTTAGGAGTTCGAGACCAGCCTGGCCAACATAGTGAAATCCCATCTCTACTAAAAATACTAAAAAAAAAAAAAAAATAGCCAGGCATGGTGATAGGTGCCTGTAGTCCCAGCTACTCGGGAGGCTGGGATCACTTGAACCTGGAAGGCGGAGGCTGCAGTGAGCTGAGATCATGCCACTGCATTCCAACCTGGGTGACAGAGGGAGACTCAATATCAAAAAAAAACCCAACACTCCCAGGGGATTGCAATAACAGTAGACCTCTCAAAAATAAAGTTAGTCTTGTAGCCCCCCCTACCCCACCACACATACTGATTGGAGACCAAAAGTTAATCTGATCAGCAGACATACTCCTTTTCTTCACTTAAGACGGTGGCAGTCATTCTATAATCTATCATGCACATAGACATTATCATCCTTTTCATCTCCTGGAGTGTGTTAATGAGAAAGGGAGCCATTGTTACCTCTTTTTTTTTTTTTTCTTAAGAGATGGGGTCTTTCAATGTTGCCCAGGCTGGTCTTAAACTCCTGAGCTCAAGTAATTATTCTACTTTAGCCTCCCAAAGTGCTGGGATTATAGGTGTAAACCATCATGCCAGGCCCCAGCATCATCACCTTTCTTTCTCTTTTTTTTTTTTTGGAAATGGAATCTAGCTCCATCACCCAGTTTAGAGTGCAGTGGCATAATCTTGGCTCACTACAACCTCAGCCACCCGGGCTCAAGTGATTCTCCTGCCTCAGCCTCCTGAGTAGTGGGGACTATAGGCATGCACCACCACACCCAGCTAATTTTTGTATTTTTAGCAGAGATGTGATTTCACCATGTTGGCCAGGTTGTTCTTGAACACCTGACCTCAAGTGATCCGCCCACCTCAGCCTCCCAAAGTGCTGCTGGGATTACAAGCATGAGCCACCATGCCCAGCCCATTATTACCTATTGATACAATACTTTCAGAATCTGAAATTAAAAAGGTAAAGAACTTAACGCAGTGACCAGAGGACAGCCCATAAGTGCTGACAGCTTTGAGAAATGACTGTCATGGCACCAAACTCAAAAGGTATTCATTAACTTTTCTTTCAGCCATAAAAAGGATCAAATGTGTCATTTCAACACACACACACTTCCCTGCTGCTAAACAAAAGCAAATGGTTGGCTGAAGTAGTAGCACTCTGATCCTCTGAAAACATTTCCCAAAAGTAATTAGCTAATGGATATCATATCCTACACCCTTAGAGCAAGCAAAGGGAGGGCACTGGACCAGTTGGACACAAATGAAAACACAAATTTTGGGTACATGCAATTGCTCTACCTCAGGGACATCAACATTCAGAACTCTCTCCTATTCAGGATGTTCCTATTTTTGTAAGAAATGTTAAGTTTAAACAAACTTATATATAAAGATAGGGATAAGGCCAGGCATGGTGGCTCACACCTGCAATCCCAGCACTTTAGGAGGCCAAGGTGGGCAGCTCACTTGAGGTTAGGAATTCGAGACCAGCCTGGCCAACATGGTGAAACCACGCCTCTACTAAATATACAAAAATTAGCGGGGTGTGGTGGCGCACGCCTGTTGTCCCAGCTACTCGGGAGGCTGAGGCAGGAGAACCGCTTGAACCCAGGAGGCAGAGACTGCAGTGAGCCAAGATGGCACCACTGCACTCCAGCCTGGGTGACAGAGGGAGGAGACTCCATCTCAAAAATAAAATAAACAAAATAAAAATAAAAGCTCACCATGATCTGGCTGAGTTGAGAGTGGGAATTATTTTCTTTTCTGTCTCCTACATGTAGGGATAATAAAGATCCTAATCCAGTGTCTCCTTCACATGCAACCAAAAGCCCCCCACCCCTCCAAGAGTTCACAGACCTCTGTTCCCAGAACAACTTCCAATGCATCTGCCCACAACCACTGATAGCCACAAATTTAGCCACACTACTTAGCATCTGCATAGCTTCTCCATAGCCTAATTCCATGGAATGCTATTTTCTGATGTTATTTCTGTATTCCTCCCCTTCCTTTAGTTTCACAAATACAGGATCCCACATAAACAATACAGAATCATTCATTCTATCAATTAATAATCATTGTTGACTACACTGAATAGTGCTTGAGGAAAGATTAGGTTAACAGAAAGGGTTCATTTTCATGGAGCCTGAGAAAAACAAACAGGAACTGAGGAGCAAGTGTTTGCTAGTATGTCCCAGCCCTGGCCAGAAAGCAGGGAGCAGTGGCCAGAGGACAGAAACATCTGTCACTGTGCAGTTTCATTTCTCGTGGTCAGTTAATATCCTAAGTTTATTCATGAGTTTCTTCCAAGTTTGGTCAGTGAGTCAGTCTCCCTGGACACAATCAACTAAATTTCTGGTCTATGAAGCAGAGAACCAGACCCTGAAGCAATGCTGCCCCCCAAATAAAGCTGCCCCATGATAACATCTATATCCACTCTCTAACTGCAACACCTATCATGAGATGTGTCTGATGTATCTAACACTCTCTGGTAGCTCCCCATGGCTTAAGGAATAAAATCCAAACTCCTCGACCTGCCTTTCACAGCTCCAACTTAGCTTTCCAGCCTCATCCCCAAACAATGGGGGATACCATGGCTCCGTGCTTTCATACCTATAACTCTATCTAGAATGTTCTTTGCTCAATCTTATTTGCCTGTAAAACTTCTATTCTTCCTCCAAAGTCCAGTTCAAAAGTCACCTGCTCCCTGAAGCCTTTCCTATTTACCCAGGCATTTCATTCACATTGTTTCAAACAGCTCTTTAACCACAACTGTGCCAGAGAACGTAAGTACACTGTAACTTATCCTTTAAAATAGCTGAGCTCCACTGGATACTCGGAGCTCCTGGAAGAAACTCACTATGTATCCCACAAGTCCTTATACAGTGTCAAGCATGAAATGGGAGCTTGATGTTGAATGATTGATCACATGGAACACAGCAGTAAGTTATTAACAGAAGATGAGAGGGGAAAAAAATCACACAAAATTCGAGAAATAAATTACCTATATATTTAATCTCATTCAAAATAACCACAATATGACTGAGACACAATGTGGATATTTCAAGCATTTAAATAATAAAACCAGTAGCCTGTCTGGTGGCTCACACCTGCAATCCCAGCACTTTGCGAGGTGGAGGCGGGAAGATCACTTGAGGCCAGGAGTTCAAGGCCAGCCTGGGCAGCATAGTAAGGCACTGTCTCTAGGTGTGTGTGTGTGTGTGTGTTTGAAATGAAGTCTCGCTCTGTCACCCAGGCTGGAGTGCAGTGGCTCAATCTCAGCTCACTGCAACCTTCGCCTTGCAGGTTCAAGCAATTCTCCTGCCTCAGCCTCCTGAGTCGCTGAGACTACAAGCGCATGCCACCATGCCCAGCAAATTTTTGTATTTTTAGCAGAGATGGGATTTCACCATGTTGGCCAGGCTGGTCTCGAGCTCCTGACCTCTGGTGATCCACCTGCCTTAGCCTCCCAAAGTGCTGGGATTGTGAGCCACCACACCCAGCTTGTCTCTAGTTAAAAAAAAAAAAAAAAGGCAATAAAAAATTTTAAAACAACAATAATAATAAAAGCAACTAACATTTGAACCCAGTGCTAAACTGTTTACATGACTTAATCTGTACAACAACTGTATCAGGTAGGGACTTTTATCTGCATTTAAGATGAGGAAACTGTGGCACAAGAGAGGCTAAATAATTCAAGATCATTTGGTTAGCAAGTGACAGAAGCAAAATGCAAACTTCAGTGGTCTGGCTCCAGAGCCAGCGGGCTCTGAATTCAGGCTATGTTACAAATGTGGATTTAAATAAGTCATCTACCCACTCTGCGTTTATTTCTTTATAAAATTGATATGATAACCTCTCTCTCTTAGGGTGTAGAGAGAACTAAGTTAAATATAAGAATGTATGTAGAAGTCTTTAAAATTGGTTCTCCCACCTGGCAGGTACTCCATAAACGCTAATTCATTTTTCCCTTCCCTTCCTAAAAGCTGGATGAAGCAGACACACAGAGGCAAAGGATCTCCCTCAGACTGCTTGAGGCTTTTCCAAACAGATCAGGTAGTTAAGCCACTCAACCCAGAAAGCCTAGCCTAACCTTCTTATCTCAAAAGTCCATTCCCTGGGCAGGGGCTAGAGACCTTTTAAAATGTAAATGTCATGTCATTCCCTTAAACCCTTCAAAGGTTCCTAATTACACTGGAGATACAAACCGAACTAAGGAGGCAGGCATTCTGCCCCCAAGGCCCCATTGCTCTAACTTGGCCCTAGTCTCCAAACTAATCTCCCCACTCCCTTTCCCCCTCCTGCCCCAGAGGCCTCTTTCACTTCCTCCTTGCTACAGTCTGCTCCACACATGGTTAACTCTTAACCCTCCCTCAGTCAGCCTAAACGTCACTTTCTCAGGGAAGCCTTCCCCAGCCCCCAACTCAAATTTTCTTACCCCCTCTTCATCTTTCTTTCCTTATACTCACTATAGTTTGAATTACTAGTTTACCACTTCCTTCAAAATTTTACTCAAAAGACAACTTCTCAGGAAGCCTTCCCAGGCCACACTAACAATATAAATTCAACTACCACCCGATACCTCAGATTCTCCCTCCCTGCTTCCTTTTTCTGCTTAGCATTTCACACTTTTTAACACACTATATTTTTGCTATATATTTTATTTACTGTCTTCGCCCCCACTCCCATGAAAGCACCACAAGGGCAGTCATTTTTGCTTTCTTTGTTCACTGCATCTAGAACAATGCCTAACACACATTTGTTGACAAATATTTGTTGAATACATTTTCACGACTATTTATTTATGTATTTATTTTGAGATGGAGTCTTGCTCTGTAGTCCAAGCTAGAGTGCGGTGGCAATTCTTGTGTCTCAGCCTCCCAAGTAGCTGGGATTACAGGCATGCGACACCACGCCCGGCTAGTTTTGTATATTTTTTTTAGTAGAGACGGGGTTGGTCAGTCTGGTCTCGAACTTCTGACCTCAGGTGATTAACCCGCCTTGGCCTCCCAAAGTTCTGGGATTACAGGTGCGAGCCACCGTGCCCAGCCAAGACTATTTATTATTAGACTTTCCCAATAGGCCAAGAACTAACGTGGTGTCTTTCTGGCTTACCACTATACTCCCAGCACCTAGCTCAGTATCCCGCACACAGTAAGTGCTCAGTAAAAATTTAATTAATGAATCAAAGCCACAAGCCACAACTAGTTGAAAAATTGTAAAATGATCAAAATGGATGCACTAGCACCACACTTCTGCCTCTTTCACTGTGTAATATAACAGTGAGGTTGAGAAACAAGCCACTGAAATCCCACCAAGCATCCACTAGGCCAGGAATCTGTCTGTCCACATCCTCCACACTCTGCCATACTGTGCACCACACTGCACCCGGGACAGAAGCACCCTACAGGCCCTCCATAAACACAGGGCTGAACTCAAGTGGGCAAACCGTAAGCCAAATACCATCTTACCCCCCAAGTCCCACTATTCTACTGCCAGTCCTATTCTAGACTAGTCCTGGATGCCAAACATGCTTCCCTGGGTGGGCTTGTGGACTTATTCCAATCCAGGACCTTCAATGCCACCTTTCAATGCCACCTTTGGCCTACTCAAAAAATGGTTTAAAATCCCTAAACAGCTTCAATAATACTGTGGTTCTCAGGATCAGGCATACCTAAGGTCATACAGACCCCTCCCCCTCACAAACGCTGATCCAAGACCAGGAGGCCATCTGTCGAGCAGACACTACCCTGTCCTCCCTCAGGTCACACTGAGCCTCCCGCCAACCCCCTCGTTGGCAGGAAGAGCCCCTGCAGAGAGACAATTTTCACCCTGATCAACAGGCCTGGTCACCCCTGAGGACCCCAACTCTAGAGCAGAAATACCTCTCTGCTCCGGGAGAAACCTTCCCCAGGGTCAGAACTTGGGCGCAGGGGAGGGGAGGACTGAGCGGCGCCAAAGAGTGTCGTTCCCCGAAGTGTCTGCGCCGTAACGGCGACAGCTCTTCGGCCGGCGGGGACGGTCGGGCTGACAGGCCGTCCCAGTGGGAGAAAGTGGCACCGTTATCCATGCCCGGGCGGTGGGCCGCGGGCCGTCGCCGAGGGCGGCCGCACGTCCCGCCCAGCGCGGAGAGGACAGCAGCGTGCCCGGCCTGCCGAGGAGCGGCGGTCGCAGCGGCGGAAGGGGCCGGCGCCCGACGGCCGGGGGCGGGGTGGGGTGGCGGCCCGGGCCCGCCAGGCGGCGGTCGGGGGAAGTGGCTGCCGCCTCTGGCGGCGGGCAGGATACTCCAAGCTGCAGGGCCGGGCCGCGGCTCGGGCTAGGTCCTGGCTCCGCTGTTCCTGGACCAAGGTGGGGCTGTCCCGACCCGCACGCCCCGCCCGGCCCGGCCCGCGGGGGGCGCTTACCTGGCGGCGGCGGCGGCGACTGCAGGCCCGGGTCTCGGCCGCGCGCGTCCCCAGCGCCGGCTGCGGGAGCCACAACATGGCGACGGCGGTGGCGGGCGGGGCTGCGGCTCCGGGGGCGGAGCGGGGGCGGGAGCCAGCCTGGCGGCGGGACCTGGCTGGGGCTGCCGGGGTGGGGGGGGAATGGGGGGGGGGCAGGCGGAAGGCGACTTGGACCTGGGCACCGGCCCAGGGCGGTGCGGTTGAGGGGCTGCCCCGGCCTGGGCCCGGCCTCCCGCCTCCCGCCCTAGGCGGGCTGCGCGGCGCAGGCCCGGCGACTACGGCGGCGGCTGCGGGTAGGGCGGGGCGGGACGGGGCGGGGACGGCGCCCCGCAGGGCTGGACCCCAGACCCGGGTAGGTCTCCACCCCGCTCCAGTCCCCGCCACCCCAGCCAGCACCCTGAGCGGTCGGGCACACAGCCGTTCCCTACGACCTGGGCCTCTTGTCCTCTGACGCGCCTCAGGGCAGGGGCCGAGGCCGCCCACTAGTGGGACAGGATCTGCCTACGCAGCTGTCTGGCGCGGCGAAGAGCGCCCGGGGACCCAGGACTGCGTCCTCTTCCCTGAAATCTGGCTCATAGTGGGGCCTGGTCGAGGCTGTTAAGTGAAAGGAAGCAGGGGTGGTGTGGGCCTGGCGCTCAGGTGCGCCCTAAATGTTTGGTCATTGCTGGCTACAAGGACGTTCGCGCAGGCTTGGAGGTGCCAGGCACGCTGACATGTTGCTTCTGGGGTAACCCAGGGGCGCGCGGCAAACAGAGTTGGAGGACTAACGACGGGTGCCGCAAGAGGTAGACTGGGAGATCTCTCAGGGTTCCTGGGGAAGCGATGACTGTGCAGGGTGAGAACTCAGAGTCTGGCGGCGGGCCAGGAGGGTGACCGGCAGGACCTTCCAAGAACCTGGCGTACCTGGAAACTGGGTTCGCAGCATTAAGACGGCAGCAAGGTCAGGGTGTGGGAATTCGGAGATGAGGTCCTGGTGACTGGCAGTGAGCACACACTGCTAACCGTGGAGAAATTCCTTCTCCAGGAAAGATACGCCAATTTGCAAGAGGGCTGGAACTAACATGCAGACGGGGCCTGCTGTGCACCAGGCAGGGAACTGAGTTGAAAGCTTGGGTGAGGAGTGTGTTAGCGATGAAGCAATAAAGGCAATAAAGAGTGATTATTCCGAAAGCTTGGCAGTGGGAAGGAGAGAAAAGTAGGCCTGGAGCTCACGACAGTACCAAGAGTAAAGGAAAAGCTGGGTCCTATTGTAGAAGCTGAAATAAAAGCATCCCTTAATCCCAGGAGTTTGAGTTCAGCCTGGGCAACGTAGCGAGACCCTCCCTGTCTGCAAAAGAGTAAAGGGAAAAGTTGATTTTTTTTTTTTTCTTGAGTAAAGGGGTTGTGGTTTTGTTTGTTTGTTGTTTGTTTGTTTTTCTTGAGACAGAGTTTCGCTCTTGTAGCCCAGGCTGGAGTGAAATGGCGCGGTCCTGGCTTACTGCAACCTCTCTGCCTCCAGGGTTCGAGCGATTCTCTGGTCTCAGCTTCCCAAGTAGCTGGAATTATAGGTGCCCGTCACCATGCCCAGCTATTTTTTGTATTTTTAGTAGAGACGGGATTTCACCATGCTGGCCAGGCTGATCTTGAACTCCTGACCTCAAGTGATCCGCCCGCTTCACCCTCCCAAAGTGCCAGAATTTTAGGCGTGAGCCACCGTGTCCTGCTGAAAAGTTGTTTTTGAGACAGTCTCACTTTGTTGCCCAGGCTGGAGTGCTGGCATGATCTCGGCTCACTGCAACCTCCTCCTCCTCCCGGGTTCAAGCAATTCTCCTGCCTCAGCCTCCCGAGTAGCTGGGATTACAGGTGCTAATTTTTTAATTTTTATTTTTATTTTTTTGAGACGGAGTTTCCCTCTTGTTACCAGGATTAGAGTGCAATGGCACAATCTCGGCTCACTGCAACCTCCGCCTCCCGGGTTCAAGCAATTCTCCTGCCTCAGTCTCCAGAGTAGCTGGAATTACAGGCATGCTCCACCATGCCCAGCTAGTTTTGTATTTTCAGTAGAGATGGGGTTTCTCCATATTGGTCAGGCTGGTCTCGAACTACTGAAGTTAGGTAATCTACCAGCCTTGGGATTACAGGCATGAGCCACCACGGCTGGCCTGTGATTTTTTTTTTTCTTTTTCGATTTTTTTTTTCTTTTTCCTTTTTTTTTTTTTAACCTTCTTTTTTTTTTCCCCCAGCAAATATATTCTATCATATTTTTTTTCTTTTTCCTAACTTGAGGGGCAGACCTCAAATAAAGGAGCTGAGAGTAGAGAATGGCAGATTAAGATGTAGGATAATTGATTGTGCAAGATACCAGAAAACAAAAAGGAGACAGAAGCAGGGAAGAGAGGAAGGGGAAAAAGTCAGAGAAGTGCACCTCGTCCTACAAGATTTAAAGAGTGCATAGAGATAGAAATATTTTGAGGTGGGGAGGCATGCATGCTTCCATGGATCAGCTGCCTGAATTACCCTCTGCAGTCATCCTTAGGCCAGCTGGGGTCACTTCCTTTAAAATTTAAGTACAATTGACTCCAAACCCATGTACCACTTAAGCAACCCAGCATACCTGCCAATATCTCCAGAGTTCATTGGGAACTTACATTTCTCCTAATTATCTCAGGCCCTAATTTCTTGTTTTCAAAAAATATTGTGCTCTTTGGAAGCTTTGTCACCATATTCCATTCGTATTACTTCAGAATATTGCACCTACCTATAAGCAAGAAAAATGCCCAAAATTATATTATATTGTTATGTGATTGTTAAGTAAACTAGAGTTTGTGGCCATTAAAAGTCATGGAAAAGAAAAAGATGTAATGATGTGGGAAATCTTTATAATTAAAAGCACATTATAAGGTGATATAGCAGATGGTAATATATAAATATACATAAACAAGTATAATGCATAGATTTTAAAACGAGACTTTTCTTCTGTTACATGTGTATTTACTTATTTTTGTAGTGCATTTATATCTCTCCTGGAAGCAGAAAAATTGTATCTTTAAGTAGCTTTTTAAAGTTTTGTTTGTTTTTTAGCTGGAGTCTCACTTTGTCACCCAGGTTGGAGTGCAGTGGCACAGTCTCAGCTCACTGCAACCTCTGCCTCCCTGGGTCAAGCAATTCTCCTGCCTCAGCCTCCTAAGTAGCTAGGATTACAGGCACATGACACCATGCCCAGCTAATTTTTATATTTTTCGTAGAGATGGGGTTTCACCCTGTTGGCCGGGCTGGTCTCGAACTTCTGACCCCAAGTGATCCAGCTACCTTGACCTCTGGAAGTGCTGGGATTAGAGGCATAAGCCGTCACGCCCAGCCTAGCTTTTTAAAATATTTTTAAGAAAGATATTTTTTAAAAATATATTTATGGGGTTCAAAAGAAAAAGATATTAGGGCTGGGCATGGTGGCTCACGCCTGTAATTCCAGCTGCTTGGGAGGCCGAGGCTGGTGAATCACCTGAGGTCAGGAGTTCAAGACCAGTCTGGTCAACGTGGTGAAACCACATCTCTACTAAAAGTACAAAAAGTTAGCTGGGTGTGGTGATGAGCCTGTAGTCCCAGTTACTTGGGTGGCTGAAACACAAGAATTGGTTGAACCCAAGAGGTGGAGGTTACAGTGAGCTGAGATTGCAACACTGCGCTCCAGCCTGGGCAACAGAGTGAGACTCTGTCTCAAAATAAAAAGGAAATGATATTAGGACTCAGGAAAGGAATTTGGAAATTGACCTTTGAAGTGTAGATGGGACTTTAGCAAGTAGAGATGGGCTGGGTGAGGAGACTGTCCCAGGTAGAAGGAGTATTCAGAGAGGAATACTCCATCAATTTCTCACTCTGGGTTCTTGGTTGTACTGTTAGATAATTTTGATACAGTCCTACCTTACCTTTCCACACTGATTCCCCTACTTTTCTTCTACACCAATCCTGTACTACACCAATCCTGCAACCTCCTCCTCCTCCCAGGTTCAAGTGATTCTCCTGCCTCAGCCTCCCGAGTAGCTGGGATTACAGGTGCCGGAGTACAGGATTGGTGTAGAAGAAAAGTAGGGGAATCAGTGTGGAAAGGTAAGGTAGGACTGTATCAAAAATGGTCCTGACTGTCAAGCTGAAGCCTTTGTCCTTCGCATGGAAGGACACTGAGGAAGAACCACTGAGGCTTGAACAGTGCAGGTAATAAATTTGGAGATAAATTGTCCTGTAATCTCTTACTCAGTGAGTAAGGTTTAGGTCTTAACCCTTCAGTCCTAGTATTTGGACATTTGATTGACCCAGAGCAATGAGTTAGGTGCAACGGTCTTTGCATTCTAGCTGTTTACAGACTGAAAATTGGGCCTTGCTTCTCTGGCTATTAATTACTACAATTTCTGTTCACCATTCAGCAGAGATTCAGAGAGAGAACAAATTAGCAAAGAGCAAAAATGAAAGGAAAAAGAAATGTGCACCTTAAAGTAATGCTTTGAAAACTTTTTTGACTGTGATCCTCTGTAAGAAATATATTTTACATCTCAACTCAGAACATATGCATGCCTACACACACACACACACACACACACACACACACACACACACACACACCTGTAAGACAAAAGTTTCATGAGATACTACCCTTATTTTACGAAATGCATTCTGATATTTTCAACTGATTAATCTTACTCTTTTTAAATGCTGATCAGGACCTACTACATTGATTTCATAACCCACTGCTGGGTCACAAAAGACATTGAAAAGAGACTCAACTATAGTCAAATAGCCTGCACCCTTAAGCTTGCCATGTTTACATGTCCCAGAAATCAACAGGACAGACAAGACTCTCCCAAGATGCTGGGGAGGGGTGGGATGTAAGGATTGGCAGGAGCCATGTTTGGGTTTCTCTTTCCTTCTCAGTATATATTTCCTAATATCAATATTTCTCAGGGGCTATAAATATTTTCTTCTTTGTCCAGCTCAAATACAGACTGAACTTCAAACAAGACAGACCAGAGACATTTTTTTATTTGAATAAACAGAATCCTGGACTAAAAAGGAAAAGTAATATGTCTTGATTGTAACTGTTATCTTAGTTGTAATAATACATTGAAGCTGTCTTATCTAACACTGTTGGAATATTTTAAGGGCAATAAGTATCATTCCTTCCTTATAAGTTTGGAAGCAATGAAAAGATGAAAATATCAACTTTATCACCAATAAAGCTGAACTGAAGAATGTGGCTTGGATGGTGGCCGATAAGCTTTTTAATATATTCTTCCCTGAATTAAAATTATTTCCAGCCAGGCATGATTGTTCACACCTGTAATTCCAGCACTTAGGGAGGCAGAGGTGGGAGGATTGCTTGAGCCAGGAGTTCAAGACCAGCCTGAGCAACATAGCAAGACCCCATTCTCCATAAAAAGGAAATATATATATATTTCCCCCAAACCTCCATTCTCCCCTTTGCAGAGGCCTAACAATATTAACCATGTCTAATTAGAGAAGTTTACACTCTCTCTTAGGTCAGGCAGATCTGAATTCAACAATTAGGTAAGTCTATCCTGGAAGAATCAGAACAAATTCAGTCCTACCTGTCCTTCTATGGAAACAAAAGGATTTAGGAATAAGGATTCACATCCCCTCCCCAGCCCCTGATGCCCAAACAAATTAGACCTGGCCCAATAGTTCCTCTTTTAGTTGGAAAAGTATATTTAAGTAGTGAATAACAACAAATGGTAAATATACACCTAACTTCAAAATTATAAAGAACACCCACTTGCCTTCCCAATCTTTAGACCTAGGACCGAACCTTTTTTGATTATTTTTCTTGAGCTGTCTTCCTTACATAAATCATATCCCCAGTGCATTAATACTTTCCTTTTTTGTTTATTTGTTGTTCTCATTTTTTAAAGACAGTCACCTAGGCTAGAGTGCTAGAGTACAGTGGTGTGATAATAACTCACTGCAGCCTCAACCCCCTGGGTGCAAGTGATCCTCCCACCTCAGCCTCCCGAGTAGCTGGGACTGCAGACAGGCACCACCGTACCTGGCTCATTACAAAAACTACATATATTCGTAGAGACAGGGTCTCCCTATGTTGCCTAGGCTGCTCTCAAACTCTTGGCCTCCAAGCAATGCATTCACCCCCTCTCAAAGTGCTGGGATTATAGGTGTGAGCTACCACACCTGGCTTCCAAGTTGACTATGTACTTAAAACTTCTTACAAAGCAATATAAGTAGAGGACCCTTCTTAAAAAAAAAAAAAAAAAAAAAAGTAGTTCTCTTGCTCACATCTGGTTTAATAGTCATTTCAACTGGTCTTCAAAACATACAACTGGCATATCATAGAGACAGCTCCTTTTCATGCTTATGTTTTATCTGTTTATGTAATTTAAATAAATTGATGAACTTAATACATTTAATAAACTGATGAATAATAATTAAACTCTTTCATCTAGCTGCCATAAACAGGTTTAGGACCAAACACAACAGACTCTTGTTAGGCATGTGGCTCAACTGGCAGGAAAGAGTATGTAGCTATTCCAGAAAGTAAGCCACTATCCAAAGCATTTATCTGTTCTCGGACATTAGCAATATATTTGTTAGAAGGGAATGGAAAGTGTTGATTCCAGAGAGTCCATTAGAACAACAGTTAGGCAAGGCACGGTGGCTCACGCCTGTATCCCAGCACTTTGGGAGGCCAAGGCGGGAGGTCAAGAGATCAAGACCATCCTGGCCAGCATGGTGAAACCTTGTCTCTACTAAAAATACAAAAATTAGCTGGGCGTAGTGGTGTGTGCCTGTTGTTCCAGCTACTTGGGAGGCTGAGGCAGGAGAATCGCTTGAACTAGGGAGGTGGAGTTTGCAGTGAGCAGAAATTGCACCACTGAACTCCAGCCTGGCAACAGAGTTAGACTCCATCTCAAAAAAAAAAAAAGGAAGACACCCAGGTCAGTAGCTTATGCCTGTAATACCAGCACTTTGGGAGAGGATCACCAGGTCAGGACTTGGAGACCAGCCTGACCAACATGGCGAAACCCCATCTTTACTAAAAATTAAAAAATGAGCCAGATGTGGTGGCTTGCACCTGTAGTACCAGCTACTCGAGAGGCTGAGGCAGGAGAATCGCTTGAACCCGGGAGGCAGAGGTTGCAGGGAGCAGAGATCCCACCACTGCACTCCAGCCTGGGCCACAGAGCAAGATTCGGTCTCAAAAAAACGAAGAAAGAAAGAAAAAAAGCCAAAGGAGAGCAAGTAATGCTCATGCACTAGGATAACCAACTCTGTGCATGTTTCATAACTTTCTTCTTCCATCATTTATCCATTTCATAAATGTTTATTGATACTCTGGACAGTGCCAGACACTATGCTAGGCCCTAAAGAAGCATAGCTCAGTGAAGAGGAGGAAACTGATACATGAACAAGGTGAAGAGTCTGGATGAAAAAGGAAGATGGTCGAACAGCAAATCCTTTTAACCTTCTCTCCAGCCCGTACTGAGAATCACTGACACTTCAGACCCATTTAGCTAAAACAACTTTAAATAGCTTGGAATGGCTATCAAAGAAGTTCAAATGTAAAGACTACTTACTGCATTGAAAGACTATGTACTTTCAATGCTAATGAGATAATGCAGTTGGTACATTCAGGGAAAACCATGGCAGTGTAAATTGTTATAATCCTTTAAAAAATCAATTTGAGGCCAAGGCATGGTGGCTCACACCTGTAATCCCAGCACTTTGGGAGGCTGAGGTGGGTGGATCACCTGAGGTCAGGCGTTCAAAACCAGCTTGGCCAACATGGTGAAACCCTGTTTCTACTTAAAAAAATACAACAATTGGCCGGGCATGGTGGCACACGCCTGTAATCCCAGCTACTTGGGAGACCGAGGCAGGAGAATCACTTGATCCTGTGAGGCAGAGGTTGCAGTGAGCTAAGATCATGCCACTGCACTCCAGTTTAGGCAACAGAGCGAGACTCTTATCTCAAAAAAAAAAAAAGAGAGAGCGAGAGAAAGATAGAACGGCCACATGCACAACAATATTTACCATAGTACTTATTGAATGATAGTGAAAATTTAGAAACATTATGAATGGTTAAGTGACTGGTAATGTGAAATTTTGTATAACTTATTGACAAAAGGGAAACATTTGATTACATATGAAATGAAAAAAGATACAGTTTGTTGGCGCATGCCAAGAACCACTAAATTGTATGCTTTACAGGGGTGAATTTTGTGAATCATCTCAATTTTGAAAAAAGATACTATTGTAGGTAGCGGTCCCAGCCGTTCTTTGGAACTAGCAACTTCCCTACCCCACCCCAGTCCTGGTCTCCGTCCAGCTGCTGACGTGAAGATGAGCAGCTCAGAGGAGGTATCCTGGATTTCCTGGTTCTGAGGGCTCCGTGGCAGTGAATTCTTCTGTGAAGTGGATGAAGACTACATCCAGGACAAATTTAATCTTACTGGACTCAATGAGCAGGTTCCTCACTATCGACAAGCTCTAGATATGATCTTGGACCTGGAGTCTGATGAAGAACTGGAAGACAACCCCAGCCAGAGTGACCTGACTGAGCAGGCAGCCGAGATGCTTTATGGATTGATCCACGCCCGATACATCCTTACCAACCATGGCATCGCCCAGATGTTGGAAAAGTACCGTCAGGGAGACTTTGGCTATTGTCCCCGTGTGTACTATGAGAAACAGACAGTGCTTCCCATTGGCCTTTCAGACATCCCAGGTGAAGCCACGGTGAATGTCTACTGCACCAAGTGCATGGATGTGTACACACCCAAGTCATCATGGCACCATCACACGGATGGCGCCTATTTCAGCACTGGTTTCTCTCACATGCTCTTCATGGTGCATCCTGAGTACCGGCCCAAACGACCTGCCAACCAGTTTGTGCCAGGCTGTATGGTTTCAAGATCCATCCGATGGCCTACCAGCTGCAGCTCCAAGCTGCCAGCAACTTCAAGAGCCCAGTCAAGACGATTCGCTGATTCCCCACCCCACCTGTCCTGCAGTCTTTGACACTTCCTTTCCTTTTTACCACCGTTCAGGAACCCTGTATGGTTTTTAGTTTAAATTAAAGGAGTCATTATTGTGGTGGGAATATGAAATAAAGTGGAAGAAAAGGCCAAAAAAAGATACTACTGTATATTTTGCTTTTGGTATTAGCTGAGATCAGCAGGAAGCAGATGAACCTCTCAGCATATCCCAGGAGAATTAATAAAGGGACAATGTCCAGAGATGTAAGTGGGGTTGAGGGAAACCAAAAAGGGACAGTAAAGCACCCCAGGTTTAACATCTGCTGGAAAGCCATTATCAACCATTGGCCTGAAGGGGCAAAGAGATGGAACAGTTACCAGTCCTTGTGTAGCTGTAGAAGGACAGCCAACAGGAGCTTGGAGGAAAGAAGAGCCCTACCTCTCTGCTTTCTCTCACGTCTCCTTCAGTACCTCCCACTGGCTGAGCCCAGCAGGAAGCCTACAAGCAAGGAGCCCAGATGACACTGCCTTCAAAGTTGGCCTCTGGAGGTAAAGAGCAGAGTGCAAAATGGTAAGGGGTGGATCGGTAGGAGGAAAGGCGGGAATACCTAGCAGACGTGTGATCATCTGACGGTGTGAAAACTGTCTAAGCATGTGCAAGGGCCTTGAGTGAAACTGGGAAAACAAGGCTTCTAGAAATAAAAAGCTGATGTAGCAAGAGGGAAAGTAAGACAGGTAGAAGGGGCAGGAAAGGGTGACTGATGAGGATGAGGGCCAGAAATGGGGCAGAAATTAGACCATTTTATTGTTTGGTTAAATATTGACCTGGAGTCTGAGCTAGGGAAGAGATTAATAGGACATATGTCTGAGTTCAGTTGAAAGGGAGCATTAAAAATTCTTTCACTGTTGGCTCTTAGCCTGTATTTCTTTTTTGTAACTAAACTACATGCATTAAACAAATAATTATTTGGTGCCTATATTGTGCCAGGAACTGTTAGGCCCTGGGGATTTAGAAGGGAACAAAATTAACCTCCTTGGCCAGGCACAGTAACTAATGCCTGTAATTCCTGCATTTTGGTACACCAAGGCAGGAGGATTGCTAGAGGTCAGGAGTTTTAGGTCAGCCTGGGCAACATAGAGACCCTGTCTCAAAAAAAAAAAAAAAAAAATACCTAAAACCTACGCATAGGGATATGTGCCTATAGTTCTTGGGAGGTTGAGGCAGGAGTATTTCTTGAGCCCAGGAGTGGCTGATTAACAACTTATACATATCCCCTACCTAGTGCCTAATTTTGTGTGTGTGTGTGTGTGTGTGTGTCTGTGTGTATACATTTAGAGACAATGTCTTGCTCTGTCGCCCAGGCTGGAGTGCAGTGGTATAATCATGGCTCACTGCAGCCTCAGCCTTCCAGGCTCGGGCAATTCTCCCACCTCAGTCTCCTGAGTAGGTGAAACCACAGGCTTGCACCACCACACACAGCTAATTCTTGTTTGTTTGTCTTTAAAGTTATGCATTTTTAATTTTATTTTTGTAAAGATAGTTCTCTCTATGTTGCCCAGGCTGATCTCAAATTCCTGGCCTCAAGCAATCTTCCTGCCTTGACCTATCAAAGTACTGGGATTATAGGTGTGAGCTACTGTACCCAGCACAAATATTTTTATTTTAAAAATTTATTAAGAATTGTAAAATGGGCCTGGCGCAGTGGCTCACACCTGTAATCCCAACATTTTGGGAGCCCGAGGTGGGCGGATCACTGAGGTCGGGAGTTCGAGACCAGCCTGACCAACATAGAGAAACCCCATCTCTACTAAAAATACAAAATTAGACGGACATGGTGGCACATGCCTGTAATCCCAGCTACTTGGGAGGCTGAGGCAGGAGAATCTCTTGAACCCAGGAGGCAGAGGTTGCGGTGAGCCGAGATTGTGCCATTATACTCCAGCCTGGGCAACAAGAGTGAAACTCCATCTCATAAAAATAAATAGAATTGTAAAATGGGGGCTAGGCACATTGGCTCATGCCTGTAATCCCAGCACTTTGGAAGGCCCAGTCAGGTGAATCACCTGAGGTCAGGAATTTGAGACCAGCCTGGCCAATGTGATCTTTACTAAAAATATAAAAATTAGCCAGGCATGGTGGCACACACCTGTAATCTCAGCTCCTTGGGAGGCTGAGGCAGGAGGACTGCTTGAACCCAGGAGATGGAGATTGCAATGAGCCAAGATCACGCTGCTGCACTTCAGCCTGGGGGACAGAACTAGACTCTGTCTCAAAAACAAAACAAAACAAAACAAAAATTAAAATGGACACAGTGGCATATGTCTATAATCTCAGTTACTTGGAAAGCTGAGATGGGAAATCATTTAAGACCAAAAGTTCAAGTCCAGCCTGGGCAACATAGTGTGAATCCCTCTATCTTTCTCTTTCTGTTATCCTTTTTTAAAATTGTTATTATACTTTAAGTTCTGGGGTACATGTGCAGATCTTGCATGATTGTTACATAGGTATACACATGCCATGGTGGCTTGCTGCCTCCATCCTCCTGTCAACTACATTAGGTATTTCTCCTAATGCTATCCCTCCCCAATCTCCCCACCCCCTGCTATCCTTCCCGTATCCCCCCACCCACCAACAGACCCCAGTGTGTGATGTTTCCCTCCCTGTGTCCATGTGTTCTCATTGTTCAACACCTGATTATGAGTGAGAACATGCAGTGTTTGGTTTTCTGTTCTTGTGTCAGTTTGCTGAGAATGACGGTTTCCAGGTTCATCCATGTCCCTTCAAAGGACATGAACTCATCCTTTCTTATGGCTATATAGTATTCCATGGTGTGTATGTGCCACATTTTCTTTATCCAGTCTACTATTGATGGGTATTTGGGTTGATTCCAAGTTTTTGCTATTGTAAACAGTGCCAAAATAAACATACGTGTGCGTGTGTCTTTATAATAGAACAATTTATAGTCCTTTGCATATATACCCAGTAATGGGATTGCTGGGTCAAATGGTATCACTATTTCTAGATCCTTGAGGAATCGCCACACTGTCTTCCACAATGGTTGAACTAATTTACACCCCCACCAACAGTGTAAAAGTCTTCCTCTTTCTTTCTTTCTTTCTTTCTTTTCTTTTCTTTCTTTCTTTCTTTCTTTCTTCTTTCTTTTCTTTCTTTCTTTCTTTCTTTCTTCTTTCTTTCGAGACAGAGTTTTGCTCTTGTTATCCAGGCTGGAGTGCAATGGCGCAATCTCGGCTCACCACAACCTCCACCTCCTGGGTTCAGGCAATTCTCCTGCCTCAGCCTCCTGAGTAGCTGGGATTACAGGCACGCGCCACCATGCCCAGCTAATTTTTGTATTTTAGTAGAGACGGGGTTCACCATGTTGACCAGGATGGTCTCGATCTGTTGACCTCGTGATCCACCCACCTCGGCCTCCCAAAGTGCTGGGATTACAGGCTTGAGCCACCGTGCCCAGCCAAAGTCTTCCTATTTCTCCACATCCTCTCCAGCATCTGTCTCCAGATTTTTTAATGATCACCATTCTAACTAGCATGAGATAGTATCTCAATGTGATTTGGATTTGCATTTCTCTAATGACCAGTGATGATGAGCATTTTTTCATATGTTTGCTGGCCGCATAAATGTCTTCTTTTGAAAAGTGTCTGTTCATATCCCTCGCCCACTTTTTGATGGGATTGTTTTTTTTCTTATAAATTTGTTTTAGTTCTTTGTGGATTCTGGATATTAGCCCTTTGTCAGATAGTTAGCTTGCAAAAATTTTTTCCCATTCTGTTGGTTGCCCGTTCACTCTAATGATTCATTTGCTGTGCAGAAGCTGTGGAGTTTGATTAGGTCCCATTTGTCTATTTTGGCTTTTGTTGCCATTGCTTTTGGTGTTTTATTCATGAAGTCCTTGTCTATGCCTATGTCCTGAATGGTTTTGCCTAGGGTTTCTTCTAGCGTTTCTGTAGTGTTAGGTCTTGTGACCCCCTCCATCTCTTAAAAAAAAATTAAAAGGGCTATGATCACACCATTGCACTCCAGCAATATTTGTATGCATGTGTGTATACACACACATACATATATATATATATATAAATTTTTGAAAACTAGAAAACCACTGAGTGCAGAGTAACTCATATCTGTATTTTACATATCTATATACATTTGTATACATACATACACACACACACACAGACACGCATACATCCATACATGTTCCCAAACATATTTTGTTAATTTTAGTTCTTGTTTGCTTTACTAAAATGGCATAATTTCCTATGTAACATTCTGGGATGTCTTTTTCATTTTTTGTGTTATATTGTTAAAATTCAACTCAGGCTTGATGCATGTAGCTGCATTTATTTCTCACGGCTGCTATAGGCAGTTCTAATGTGTGACTATGCTAACTTTCATTTTTCCCATGCAACAGAAACTCTTGGTGGCCTGTATTCTCCTTGGCCCCTTGGCCCCGAATATATGGTGGCGAGTTCCATAGGAGCTTCCACTTACTGACAATTTCCACTGCAAGCACCAGGTCTTGAGCCTCTCCAATTTCTGTTTCAGGGCCTTTTCAAAGCCACAAGAGCCTTTTCAGCCCTCTCACAGGCATAGCCTGAAAGTAAAGAGAATTAACACAGCCCTCAGCCAGTGGCAGTATGAGCCAAGGAATAAATGCCCCAGCCTCCCATCCTTCAGATGGACAATTCTGGGAGGCATTTTACACACTTTTCAGAGGTCTCCAAAAATCACATTCCCTGTGCTGGCTTTCCCTCCTAATCCTGCCTCACTCATTCCTCGACTTTAGACCTACTGTTCCCCACACACATCATCAATTCCCAAATACACAACCTGCAGGCAAGTCTTTGTCTCAGGTTCTGTTTTTGGGGAACCCAAACTAATACAACCAATTTCCCGATAATGAGCATTGGGTCATTGCAGGTTTCTGTTATTGCAAAAGTACTACCAAGAACTTTCCTGTAAAACCCACTGGTGCACAAGTGCAAGAATTTCTCTTTTGTATTTATATAGAAATAGAATTGTGGTGTCACAATTATATTGTGAATATTCAACTTTACAAGATAATTTCCAGTGGTTGACCAAAGTGGTTTTGGGATTTGTTTTGTTCTGGTTTGATTCTTTTAAAACCAATTTACAATT